CTAATCATGGGATAAGAGGGAAGGTCCTCTCGTGGATTAGTAACTGGTTAAAAAACAGGAAACAAACGGCAGGAATAAATGGTCAGTTTTCCAAATGGAGAGGTAAATAGTGGTGTCCCCTAGAGATCAGTACTGGGACCAATACTATTCAACATATTCATAAATGATCTGGAAAAAGGGGTAAATAGGGAGGTGGCAAAGTTTGCAGATGATACAAAATTACTCAAGATAGTTAAGTCCAAAGCAGACTGCAAAGAGTTACAACGGGATCTCACAAAATTGGGTGCATGGGGAACAAAATGGCAGATGAAATTTACTGTTGATAAATGCAAAGTAATGCACATTAGAAAACATAATCCCAGTTATACATACAAAATGATGAGATCTAACTTAGCTGTTACCACCCAAGAAAGAGAACTTGGCATCACTGTGGACACTTCTCGAAAAACATACACTCAGTGTGTGGCGACAATCAAAAAAAGATAACAATGTTAGGAACCATGACGAAAGGGATAGATAATAAGACAGAAAAGATCATAATGCTGCTATATAAATCCTTGGTACGCCCACATCTTGAATACTGTGTGCAGTTCTGGTCACTCCATCTCAAAAAAGACATGAGAATTGGAAAATGTACAGAGAAGGGCAATAAAATTGATTAAGTGTATGGAACAGCTTCCATATGAGAAGAGATTAAAAAGACTGGGACTATTTATCTTGGAAAAGACATAACCAAGAAGGGATATGATAGAGGTCTACAAAATTATGAATGTTGTGGAGAAAGTGAATAAGTGTTATTTACTCCTTCATGTATGGGCCCTACCTAATTCATAGACAAAATAAGATCTCCTCCATGAAATCTAGCTATTGTGGGGGAGGGGGAGGGAGAGGGCTGGGGATGCCATAGCCAGGGGCTCCTACCATGCACTGGACTCCAGCGGCAGGACTAGGACTTCATCTTCCCCTGCATGGCCGCTCGGGGGGGGGGGAGATCAGACCCACCTCCAGGAACCTCCCCCAGCTGCAGGAGGCTCTGAAGGCAACACAGAAGTGAGGGTGGCAATCCCACAATACCCTTACAACAGTTTTACTCCCTCCCCTTTCTCCCCCCCCGTCCCTTTTGGGTCGGGACCCCCAAGGTTATAATACCATAAAATTTCAGATATAAACATCTAAAATCGTGAAATTGGCTATTTTAAAAATCCTACAACTGTGAAATTGACCAAAGTGGACCATGAATTAGGTATGGCCCTATTCATGTAACACAAGAACAGGGGTCACCCAATGAAATTAATAGGCAATAGGTTTAAAACAAACAAAAGGAAGTATTTCTTCACACAATGCACAGTCGATCTGCGGAACTCATTGCCAGGGGATGTTGTGAAGGCCAAAACTATAACAGGATTAAAAAAAAAAATTAGATAGGTTCATGGAGAATAGGTTCACCACTGGCTATTAGTCAAGATGGTCAGGGATGAAACCTCATGCTCTGGGTATCCCTAGCCTGTGACTGCTGGGAGTGGACAATAGGGGACGGTTTTCTCAATGATTGCCTTTTCTGTTCATTCCCTCTGAAGCACTTGGCATTGGTCACTGCCAGAAGAGCTGGGCTAGATGGACCATTGGTCTGACCCAGTGTGGTCATTCTTATATAGTGCACAAGATCCTGCAGCCCCGAAAGGCACCTGTCTCAGCAAATAGGTGTCAATACTGGTTTCTGAGAGAGACATTTTTAACTTATAGCTTCATGAATGCATCATTTCATCCACTTTGTAATAGTGGATTAAAATGTTCCCCCTTTTTTTTTTTTTTTTTTTTTTTTTTTAAGATGGCCCTTAA